TATACTAATAAAACCAAATTTAACATGACAGATTGAAGCTGACTTAGTTTCAAATACAGATTTCAAGAAACGAATAAATCAACTAGTTTGGAATATGAATATTAAACCAACAGAATTTGAGAACAAATGAGATTTGATGTTGAATGAGTTTCATTTGAAGGAAAATAAATGGTTGGCTGATATGTTCAACAAGAGAGATAAATGGATTCCATCCTATTTCAGAGATATACCAATGTGTGGACTTATGAAGACTACATCTCGATCTGAAAGTTCTAATTCCTTTTTCAATGTTTTCTCAAGTCCAACAAACTTACTTGTTAATTTTATGTTCAACTTTGACACTGCACTTTCAAAGCAGCATCATGAACAAAAAAGATTAGACATTGCATCAAGAGATACTTTGCCACAACTACTATTTCCAAATGAAAATTTGAAAATAGAAAAGCATGCATCATTGGTATACACTCGAGAAGCATTCATAAAAGTGCAAAAACAAATAAAAAAGGCATTCTATCAGTGTTTTCAAAAAAATTCGGTTTTGATTGATGGTCGTCAACAATGCACAATTGTCTACAAAGAACTAAAATCAGGCAAGCGACCAGAATTTAAGGTATTCAATTATGCTACTTCATTATTATTTTAATTTAACATTATTTATAATTTATAAATATATTTTTAAAATAAAATTTTATTATTACTTCTCAGGTTTCTTTTGATGCAAAAGATGAAACAATTGAATGTGAATGTTTGCATTTCACATTTTTTGGAATCCTTTGCAGTCATGCTTTCAGAATTCTTATAGATTATGACATTGCCATGATACCTGAAAAATACATTCTGGATAGATGGAGAAAGAACATAGTGGATATTGGTTTTCAAAAGATAAACAAAAAATGGAGAGTGTGCAGTACAGAAATTTCAAATCTCTTGCAGGATGCAACTTCTTTTTTTGAAAAATGCGTTGAATCGGTTATTCATGATAAAGAAAAACTACAAGAATTGGTGAACTCTCTTCAACAATTAAGTGAAACTTGTGGAAAAGATGTTTCTACAAGATCAAGTTCAATTCCCATAAAAGATGTGATTGAAAATATCATTGGAGTTCCAATTTCAAGTGATGTGAAAATCAAAGTACCAAGTGAGATAAAAACAAAAGGAAGTGGAAAGAGGAGTCGAATCAAAAGTGCTGCAGAAAAAGCAATAGCAAAAGCACTTAAACCAAAACGCAAATGCAAAGGATGCAACCAATTCGTCAACCATGATATAAGAAATTGCCCAATAAATCCTTCAAATGTGCTTAGGCCTTTCAAAAAACATCAGTAACTTATATATGAATTTTAAATTTGTTTGTTGTTAAGCTTCTCTGTATTAAAACTATTACTATTAATCGCATTAAACAATTTGAATTTTGAATTACGTACCTATTCTTTTTCCTTCAACATCTTCTCTCCAACTCTTTTGACCATGTCTTTTGACAAATGTACAATTAAAAAAATTAACTCTTTAGACCATGTCTTTCACATACAAACCTTTTCATCTAATAGAGACTTTATATTATACACATGTACATACACGCAACAAATCTTCAACAATGTATAATACTACATAACCTAATAAAATCTTTCATTTATTAGTTAAATCTTTTCATAAATGGAGACGTCAAATCAACTTATTTACAATAAATACAAATGTACAATTAAAAATATTAACTCTAATGAGATTGAAAAATATAATATTACATATTAAACATGTATATATACGCAACTAATCTTTAAAAATATATAATACTATATTACCTAATAAAAAGTTCCATTTATTGCTTAAATCTCTTCAAAATTTACAATTAGAAAAAAAAAATTAATAAATATAGAAGTCAAATCACTTAAATACAACAAATACATACAACCCTTTCACATACAAACCTTTTCATCTAATATAGACTTTATATATTATACAATAAATACATACAACCCTTTCACATACAAACCTTATCATCTATTCATAAATGGAGACGTCATATCAACTTATTTACAACTACAAACCATTCTATCACATAAAAACCTTTTCATCTAATACTAACTTCATAATTTACATTTAAAAAAAAATTTAAAGAAAAAAAATGTAAAAACTATATATAATAACAATACTGTAATCACATTATAACATATAAAAAAAATATTTGCTATATATCAAATAAAAATAGGTAATATATTATTTTGACATACATGTCTTTAGGTTAGTACGTAACGGTTGTTGGTGACTTTTGGAATCAATGAGCTTAATGACTTATAGATAACTATATGTTAAGAATGAAAGCTAAAGTTATCTTTGTCTCATTTGTTAATTATGAAACTCTTATCATATCCTTTTTGATAACCAATTTTGAATTGTTAAATAATAAACTATTTGAAATTATGATACTTTTTTCGAAATTTATTACTTAAATGATTTCAAAAATCTTTCATTTATTACTAGAATCTATTCATAAATAGAGAAGTCAAAACACCAAAATTACAATAAATACATACATTTCTTTCACATAAAAACCTTTTCATTTACTAATAACTTTATAATTTATATTTAAAAAAAATTAACATAAAAAATATGTAAAAACTATAATCAATAACAACACTATTATCACATTATAACATACAAAAAAAATTATTTTCTATATATCAACTTATTAAAAATAGGTAATATATACCGATTACTTTTATAAAATACAAAAAAAAAAAAAATTACTTTCATAAAAAGATAAGTATTATCATCTTCAATGTATAGATAACATCATTAGCTAAACCTACAACCGCCAAAATAGCTATACAACTTTTTGAAGCAAATGATGGCAGAAAATTAATTACTCCTCTACTTACTCCGATTGTTACCGCTATATATTCCTATTAAACATAAACATAAACTTAAGGAAGAAAACACATACATTGATGGCTTCTGAATCATCCCTTTGGGTAGTTCGAAACACCTCGGATTATCTTGATCTTTACGACACATATGGTATGTTCTTTATTGTTACAATCGTATACTATTAATACTTATATAATATTCTTTTCAATATTCATTCAGGGTGGGACAACAAAAAGTACTTCACGATGATGCTACATCATGGAGGAAATTTCGAATACTACCCAAATCGCGATTACGATGGAGGCAAGATTGACTATATAGACTTCATCGAGGTTGAAACTTTCTCCCCAAAGGTATTTCAAAGCATCTTAACTTCTTTTGGTTATGATGTTGAGACAACATATGCATACTCTCTAGTCTCCTTTGCTCCCTTAGACGTTGGTCTAAACAAGCTTGCTTATTGGAATGATTTCATTAACTTTGTCAAAAAAGTTAAAACGGAAGGTTTTTTTTTGTGTTCAACAAGTTTATTTGGAGCATAATCAAACCACTGTTACAAACTTCTTCCCAAATACTTTAAACTTTGCAACAAACAGTTATCTGTCCACAAAACTCTATTCAACAGTTGCATCAAATCCAAAAATTACTGTTTGGGAGGCTAGGATCATGCTTTTTGACAAATTCAACTTTTGGATCAATGTTGACAAACTCATTGAAGCTTTGGATTACACCAAGTATCAAGTGAATCTTCTGGGGAAGTAGATGAAGCTGCAAGGTGAAAAGTTGGGAATTTGGAATTTTTGGGTTTTTGGGTTTTTGGGTTTAAGTAAATGGTGTTATTATTAATATTTGGACGTCTTTATAATATGTTTATGTGATCAAACTTTTGGTATGACTGTAATGGGACTGTAATATATTTTAAATATTATGTATGGTGGTTGATATAATGTTTATATTATATATTATTGTTGATATCTTACTCTGAAAATTTTAGATATGATGGTTTTAAAAATTATAGATATTATGTACTTATATATGTTAATATTATATATGATTGTAAATATATTAACTTTATAAAAGATTATACATATACAATCAAAATCAAAACCAAAAAAACTTAGCCACACTATTCATATATTATTATAAACTTATGTTCGTAGAAGTACATTACATAAAACCAAAACAAATAACAACCAAAAACAAACAGACATTTATAAAACTTCATAACAAATTGTTCTACTTACTCATTCATAACCATTACTATTAATACTTCTACATAAACATAACGACTTGAATTTTACTTCAACAAATATATATCAAGGACCAAAAGCAGCTAACCTAGCTGCTATATTGATAATGCCTTCATGATACATTACACGCCTGTCATTTGAAGAAAGCTTTTGATAATCAACAAGAAGTTGCTCAACTTCATTTTTCATTAAATTAACTTCACTCAACAGAATTTTCATAGAATATCTTCTTCGAAGATTTCTAAGTTGCATCATCTGCTCAACACTTTCCATTTTAAACCCACATCTCCAATGAGCTAAAGGACCACCTTTATAAGTTTCCATATGACGCATCAAAAAAATCCCACAATCATTACTGTTACCTCTTGTTTTCCACGTCATATATTGATCAACAAATTCCATTTCATACATAACTGAAAAAGCCATAAAATGTTTTATGTCTTGAAGATATCTACCAAACATATATTTCTGCATTTAAATATAAACAAAAATTCAATATAATTTATAAAAAATATATATATAACTCATTAATATATATATAAACATTTAAACAAAAAAATACAAACAAACTTACCAGATTTTGAGTTAGATGTGGGTATGGTTTTTCAGAAGATCTATACAAAATGTTGTCCAATATGACAGCTTTGCGGTTTTTAAAATCAAAAACAAACACAAAATAGTGACTGTTTGCACATGCAGGAAAGAACACCTAAATAAACATAAACAACTTCATAGTAAGATACAAACACAAATAGAATAAAATTTCAAAAAAAAATTGAACTTACCAAATCAATTCCTTTTAAATTTCTTCGTTCCTTAGACTCTCCCAAACAATGAAAAACATTTTCTTTAAAATTCTCGTACACATCATCATGTTTACATGCTTCACTATGCATGTATGCAGGATCCTAAATAAAAAACCAAAGTTCAATAAACATCATAAAAATATACTAACAACTACTATACATACCAATACTGCTGTCTTGAAGAAGAAACATGAAGGAGTGTCCAAATTCCTAGCTCTCTCATCATAGTTCAACACTTCAACAAAACAATCAATAGTCCCAGAAAAAAGAAATTCTCCCGGATATAAGCTCTCAAACATGTATCTTTCCCCACACTGACCATTTATGCTATGAAAAAGATCATCCCTATTAAAATAAAAAAAACATTAGCTTAAATATTATTTATATATATATATATATATATATATATATATATATATATACATATACACAAACACATTACGTTGGATTCCCACATAAACTGAATAGCCAATTAGACTTGATATTCTCCTCCTTCATCAAATTACTATCAATCTCAACAGCTCGTACAACAAATGGAGACCTAAGCACTGGAGGTAACATTTGACTTCTCTTTGGTCTCAATGAAATCATATCTTTCTTAAGAATTTGAACTTTTTCACTTTCATTGCAAGACTTTGGTTCATTCCCTTTGACTAAATCAGAACTTATTCCAACAGAAACAGAATTATTGTCCACATAACTATCAATACCTGGATTAACTTTTGGAGGAGTATATATATCATCCTCAATTCCTAAATTAAAAGAAGGAATACTCTCAACTACACACTTTTCCTTATGACCATCCTCGCAATCCAGAGGCAACTTATTTTCAATAAATCCATATTTCCCAATCAAATTTGCCGATCCATATTTATTAACAACAACACCTGGACTCACTTTTGAAGGAGTATGCATATCATCATCAATTCCTAAATTGAAAGAAGGAATACCCTCTCCTACACACTTTTCCTTATGACCACCCTCGCAATCCACATGCAACTTAGTTTCCATATTTCCAGATTTGCCAAACGAATTTGCCGATCCATATTTATTACCACCAACGCTGTTGTTAATAGACTGCCCAACATCTAGAAATTCATTAGACTTATCATCACAACTACTACTTTTTCCAGATGACTGAAAAGGATATTCGCATTTATAATTACTATGACGAAAAGATTTATATGCAGAACATAACTCTTTCAGCTTCATTCCATAAAACTCTACTATTTTCAAATTTCCATGCGTTTTAAAGGCTTTATCCACTTTCTTAGACATATCTACTAAACACCACTTCATTTCTGAATGAAACTCCTGATAACAATAAAAAACATAACAAATTATAATTAATATATATAACTTAAATTTTAAACATAAAAACAACATACAAACAAATAAATCAAGTTCATCTTCAAAAATACACAAATAACATTACTTACTAAAATTGATCCTCTATAAACTTCATCAACACTTTCCACTGTAGCAGATGGCATTCCAAAACCTCGATTAGAAATTTCATTCATTTCTCTCACTTTCAACTGCTCTAAAGTCCAATTATTAATTACTGGATATCTTCTAACCATTAACATTTGCCTACATTGAATCCTATCAACATATAGCAACTACAAAAAAAAACAAAATATAATAACAAAATATAAATATTACTAATATTTTAAAAATATTTACTCAAACAACATTAAATTACATACCGTTAGAAAGACACTTGGACCATTGAAGAAGGTCTTAATATCACTTCTACCCCAAATCAACTTTTCTTCTTTTACACAATTTAATACATACGTACACCAATCAAACTTATCTAACTTATATGATTCAGACAAATACGGTAGAAGCTTCAAATTGCATGCACCTTGTTTGTTACATGATCCAAAACATGTACATACAAGAATAATAAAGTTTGCAACAAACACCATATCTGCTTCACATCGTTCTATTATCTTGTACACAACATCATTTGGAGTAATTAAAGACAACGGCTTCTTGAATTGATCTTTCCATATTTCATACCATTCCTCATTACCTCTTAAATCAACACTATTTAATTGATCAATCCCCATAGGTAGCCCTAACACCCTATTAACATCTTCCCTTGTAACCAAAATATTAGAAACCTCAGTTTTAATAACCATCTCTAAAGGATCAAACGAATCAACAACAAAATAACATAATTTTGCTGGAATACTTTGAGTCTTCATGTCTATCAATGATCCAAATCCCAAATTCCTCACACATTCTTTTTGCTTATGATTCATAGACTTCACAACACCATATATAGAATGAAGAGAAACACGAGAATACAATGACTTTATTTTATCACTATGCAACTCCATTTTCTTTTTAACTTTCTTATCAGCTATATTATCCACCCTCTTCACACTACTACTGGAACCATCCTCAAAATCAAAATCACTAGAAAACTCTAGAACAAAATTATCAACATACAAACGTTGTAAAATAATATAAAAAAATTAATAAAACATAATCAATAAATAAATAACACAATAAATAATAAACATTATATTCAAGTTTACCATGTTCGGAGACAATTGTTTTACTAACTTTTCTATCACTTCTGTTAACCAACTTCCTGCTCTTTGTAATGCTCCGAACTTCATAATCAGAATCACTTACATAATCTAAATTATTTCCAACAAAAAAAAACTATAATCTACATTAATAATAAACTTAAATAATAACCACATAATAAAAACTAACCTTCTGAATCAGATGATTTTGAATTTAATCGACCAAACAAACCATGTTTTCTCTTTTTCATCGAACTATATTCAGACTGAATAACATTATTCCTTGGCTTTTTCTTCTTCCAAGAATCACTAGATGAAATGTCAATTGTCTTATTCCTAGAATTACTGGAATAAATCTCAATTGGACTCTCATCATCTACACATGCAGGCATAACAAAATCAAAACCGAAAAAATTGATAACGTAAGTTAATTTGAAAAACATTATCAACAACAAATCATAACTTACTCTCCTTCTTAACTTCATCATATATAAATTTTTTCCCTTCAGATACTTCATCATCTTCTATTTCTATAGGATGATCACGAGAATTAACAATGCAATCAACTTTAACCACATTCTCATTTAAATAATCCTTCTTCCTGGATACCATTCGTTGAGATGCAATTATAAATTTCTTCATGAGTTTCGAATTCAAACTTTGCCTATTCCTGTTCACTTTCGCATCTAACAAAGCTTTAAAAGCAAACATTATGTTGATTAATGTTGAAATACATAATCTAATATAGATAAACCTATAAGAAAACCCTCTGAATAAAATTTGAAACAACATAAACGTAGACCTTGAAACAATTACGCATAAATGGTTACATCAATTTGAAAACCGTCTACTAACTTCTCACTTACGGTTATATTAAAAAAAAAATAACTACAAAATACAATTACATTTATAACCTTTTAATTAAACAATTTATAAAAAACAAACAATTACGTGTGATATAAAAACAACAACTACTCTAATACACATGTTTCTTTCCTATTGGTTCTTACCATTTTCACATCTTACTCTCATTTGTACACGAACTCATTTCTATATATATATATATATATATATATATATATATATATATATATATATATATATATATATATTTTCATCCAAATAAATACTTAACACCCTATAATTTGGTAATTTCATGAATTTTCTTTATTTTTAATATAACATGTTTCCTAAAACAAACTGATGATTGAATTGAAAATAATCATTTTCCATCAAAAAGAAATTAATTGTCGAAACAAACTATTTGTCGTCCGCCGCTTTGCGCGGGTAAACGGCTAGTATATATATATATATATATATATATATATATATATATATATATATATATATATATATATATATATATTAGTTTATAACACGTGGAAACAACGGTTATAAAATTAATAAAATTTTTATAATAAAAATTTATAACTATTAATCAATTATTTTAAATAAGTCATTTTAAATAAATTATAAACTAAAAGATATATCAAAAATTTGAAGTTATTATAACTTCAAATTAATGAGAAAATGTAGATTTGAATTTTGAAATGAGTTGTCTAATATATCTACATGATACACCACAAAATATTAATGGGGAGTTGTATTAGAATGATACTTGCCAAAAGAAGATTAAAAATATATATATATATATATATATATATATATATATATATATATATATATATATATATATATATATATATATATATATATATATATATATATATATATATTAACGTGAGATCAATTTGCAGCGGCGGCGCTTGCTCTCTGCACCCAAGTCCAAAGCATCCCCACGTTTCTCAGTTTATGATGTGTATGCATCAATGCATGTGTTGATGAGAATGAAAGTCATGCCTTATAAGCCAATGAAGTTACTAAATTCAACTAAAAATGAGAGTGGGAGACGCAACATTTATGTCGATTGGTATTTATTTGTTATCTTAATTACAAAAAATAATATTTTTATTTTTAACAAATACTACAAATGAGAGTGGGAGTATCTGTTATTTAAATTTAAAAGTAAGTTGATTTAAGTAGGATGTCACGCCAGCATCCAATGTAAAATCTAAAGTTGCAACAGGAAAATTCTTAGTAAAATGGTTAACATTGGAAACAATTGATAAATTGATTACTTAATTTGGAAAAATAAAATAATAAATTGTGAAACTAAAAAAAAACTGAAAACATAACAACTTCCATACCATTTGACCACAATTCCTGCTTCATATTGTTCCTCAAAAACAATGGTATACCCATCATACATATTTAATCTTTGTGAAATTTATTTTATGCAAATCCTCTTTTCGTTTTTTGGTGGTTGTGGAGACCAACAAAATTAATAACCCTAAATCTTTTACATTAAAATAGTATATAATGGTAAAGTGATCGAATCAATAGAGATTAGTTCAATTTTATAAGGGAATTGATACTTCCACTCTCAATTTTGATACATCCACTGATTTTAAAGAAAATTGACGATTATGCCATTTGTTTATATTTGGAGTGTAATCTTTTGTAATAAATAAAATAGTATAATTTAACCCACCCTCTTTATTCCTGGTGGTCTTCCCCTCACCTCGTAACCTTCTCCCTCACCTTCTATACACCCATGCCGTTGACCTTCAACCCACACTTGTCGGCATAAACCACTGCTTCTGTAAGTATCAAAATCGAAACCACCTTTCAAAATAATATTTTCTGGCCCATAGGGTTTCAAGATTCGATTTGCAGAAGAGTTCAATATTTAATTGGTTCAAGGGATTTTTGAGGTTTCATCGTCGGTGACGAGTAAGGCTTCCGAACTAGTGCTTTTATCAGCCGGTGTAGGAGGCTTTCTTGAAGATGATGGAGGGGTGGTGGTGGAATGGGCGAATGGCCTTTTGGGGTGAGTTTTGTCTCTCAATGGAATAAATCGGAGATGGGTGTTTCCGTGGAAGTTCCGATGATCCTTGTATTTTTATTGGGAGAAAACGGGAAGGTTTCTTGAGGACGAAGAAAAAGGCGGGCAAAGAGTTAGAAGATGGCCCCTGTGTTGCAGGACTCCGGCTTGGGTGTTCACGAACTGTAAGGAAAATGTATGGAGGGGAGAGGAATACCAACTGAGCTAAAGGGGGGGTGATGGGTTAAGTGAATGTTTTATTTATTACAAATGAATTAAAAAGGTTATTATATTAACATACACCATAATTATATTCTAAATATATATGAGGGTATTATTGTCAATTTCTTTTAAAAATCAGTGGATGAATAAAATAAAAAAGTAGAAATAACAGCCCCATTTTATAACTCTATGAAAAATCTATTTTTAAAAATACTTGTAATTTACAATAAAAGTAAAAATGGGGGTTTTGATATATTGAAATATTTGAAATAAACTTGAATTAGACTATGATTTAAATGTACAATTTCAACAAAAACAAGAGTTTTATATGAAATCAATAAGAGAAAGAAGGTTGACTTAAGGTTTCTTCACTTTGACTTTTGATGAACATATCATTAGAATCGAATGGTGCAATACTTGTTTTAAATCCTTAATTTGGCTATAGTAATCCAAGAAGCTTGAGATTACCTAGATTTTTCTTAGTTGTTAAAATGGTTAGAGAAACTCATAACCATTTCCTTAGTCAAAGTCATAATTTCCATTAAGCATGTAATTAGTGAAAGTCAACTAGCATTAAGAGCCAAAAAGTCATCAAATCCAAGATAAGTCAAATGCTTTCACTTCCATGTTTGAGAAAATGTTTTTTTATGATTGTGTGAAGTAAAACTAACAAAAAAATCACTTGTTTCTTGCTAATTTGAGGATCCTTTACTTAATCAAGAAATTAGCCAACTAATCACCACAAACACGGTTAAACTCATGAATAAAAACATACAAGTAGTAATAAGATGTTAAAACACAAAACATTCTCATAAAGATTCAAGAACAAGTTCATGGAGTCTTCAACATTCAACAAACATTCAAAGGAATTCACCCAAATCAACCAAGTTTAGTTTAGCCAAGCATGGCTAAACTCAAGAAAACAAAGTAAGAAAAAATTGTACCAAACATTTAACAAGATATAAGAGCAAAAAGATAAAGTTCTTGAGGTGTTCTTGGCCTTCAAAATGCTCCAAAATCTCTAGAGAATGCTCCCAAGTACGGATGTGCAAGAGTGTGAAAGAGTCCCACCAAACTTCCTTAAATAGAAGCCAAAAGTAAAATCACGATTTTGCCCCTACAGGAATCCACGCGAGCCGCGTGGAAATCTTACGTGGGTCGCGTGAGACGACGGAAAATGGGCTTTCTTCAATTGTTAGGCATGCACTGCTTAATCCACTAGCTCAGTTTGAGTCCGGTAAGCTTCTAGCCCATTTTTCTTCAAGTTCTCTTTATTTTGAGCACAATTTTCCTTTTCCAAATCTTCCAAAGCTCTTGAAATCGCCAAATCATTAATTCCCGCACACTTGAAAATTTTGTCCATCTTCGTTTAACTAATAGACCATCTTCTTCAATTCTCCATCATCTATAGCCCATTTTATGCATCATCTCCACTACATATTAAGCCCAAAAATCTTTATTGTTCACCAAGTCTAAGCGCCTCCCAAAGATCCCGCTTCGTAGTCTCCAAAACCCTACAATTATGCTCATGAAACTAGAGAGTACCCGAAATAGTCATAAAATAACAAAAATGAAAATATACATGGAAATTGACTAAAATATGAATGAAATATACTAAAATAAGCTATAAAAAAGAAGTAAACAAAATAAATCTATCAAATCCTCCTAAGCTTAAACCTTACTTGTCCTCAAGTAAGACAAGACTAAAATGAACCTGAGATGAACTAACCTAAAAAGGAAAAAGAATGAACATCTTAGGCAGAAATTCACGACAATACTCTTAAAATAAAAACATATAATCCATTTTTAGAGATAAAAATCGCTTTAAGGGACGCACCTTTGTTACCTTTCTAGCAAGGGATACATGTTGAACAAGATACAAAATGAGTATGCATACTTCACTATTATGGTTTATGTGACATTGTTTCGTGGTCCGATCTAGCCCACAAGCCATAAGAAAGCGTTCCTCTATTAGAATGTTCCTTACTCCTCACAATTTCAACCCCATACCAAGGAATAAAACTTAGGAAAAGATAACTTGGGTTAAAATTGGTAAGGAACGAGCTATGCACAAAGGTTGATAAACTATAATCATTTGGGAGAATAAGTGCTCCCACAAAAATGAGATCCATGTAGAGTAAAGAATTGAGCACGAGATGACTAAAAGGCATTATTTTAGTTGCCAACAAAAGATGAAATCTAAACTAGAAAAACATCAAACTAGAAACGAACTACATGAAATAAAATCCAAAAAGTCTAAACATCCTACAAATGAAAAATGGATGCAACTTCGTGGCCCGACCCTTATAAATATATATATATATATATATATATATATATATATATATATATATATATATATATATATATATATATATATATATATATATAGATATAGGACAACAAAACTCCAAAAATACAATTACAAATACAAATGCTTGGGATACTAAAAAATCTATATAAAAAAACACGATGAAGGAAATACTAAAAACATCTAACTATATATGCATTTTATGATTGCGATAATATCCAACTTTTCAAGAAAAAAAAATTCTTCAAGACTTTTAAACACTAAAATCAACAAAAATAAAGTTCAAACTTCACA